TCAACCGACCTGCAGCCGCATCTCCACCTTTTGTTTCCAGCATCAGCCGCATCCATTCCCCTACGACATCGTTCTGTATGGACTCTATATCTCTGTGTTTCGTTCAGTCATCGTTTTCTCCCGAAATACATTCCAGTCCACCTTCACACAAAGACGCCACCAGTCTGGTGCATGATCCCGATCCATCCGTGTCATGTTGAGATGACGATTTCCCGTGTCTCGCAAAGGCTGTCTATCTAAACGGGCTAGTACCTTGGCCCCAGAATGGCCATGGCCCCACGGAAAGGAACGCGACGAGCGTGTGACCCTTGTTCTGTCAGTGAGTGTTAGGTGCATGTCAACGCTCGTGACACGACTGACATTATGTTTCCTTCGTCTAGGGAAAGTGCGATGTGATGGCAACCAGCCATGTTCAAGATGCGAAGCCGCTAGCTGGGACTGCACCTACTTGAAAACGCATGGAAAAAGCGGACCAAAAGGACCACGACGGACCACGGAAGCCGCAATCAGGAGACTGCAGGAACGCAGCAAGGGCACCCATGATGAGGGGTCAAGAAGCAACAGCGAGACGAGCTTTGACGCTGGAAGCCCAGTATCTACCGAGCTAACCTACCTTGACCCCATCTCTTTGATGAGCGATGCCGATGGTGAACCCAAAGCCTGGCCGGATATCTTGAGTCCAACCCTCTCCGCCACCCATCACGAGCCTCAGAGGATATCGATTGCTTGCCTATCGCAATATTTGGATATCTATTCGGCACGCGGATACGGTATATGGCCGGTGGTCGATGCAGAGGCTCTGACGGCACGTCTTTTGACTCATCCCGATGATTTGGAAGCTTATGCATTAGCCACTGCGATATCTGCTGCTATAGTGAGCCAGTTCTCTATGGACGAATCGGGGAGTCCACTGGAGGGCCACTACCGCGTCCCGAGTGGCACATTTGAAATGGAAGCAAAAAAGGCAAGGAACGAATGCGATCACCTGGAGAACGTCACTGTGTTCTCTTTGCTGAGCAGCTTCTTCCTACATGTCTACTCGGCAAACGTTGGGAGGATGAATGCTTCCACAGTGTTGCTTGGAGAGGCCATCTTCAAAGCGCACATCATAGGATTGCATAAGGCGAACCACTACGAGCACATGACCGCGGAGCAAACACAATATGCGTTGAGAGTTTACTGGCTCCTCTTCATCACGGAGCGAGCACATTCTCTGCAACACGATGTGCCGACAACACTCAAGCGCGCCCCAAATCTCCCTCGACTGGAGGACCTACACGATGGATCGGTCACACCTGCTTTTGTTCAGCTTTGCCGGCTGTTCAACATTTTGGATGTCACTATAACCGCCGAACCAGCAGCTGCGCGCCACGCCCTCGCATTAGCTCAGCAACAGCTTAGCAGTGATGAGGACCCCCGCAGCCTCGAGAACGAGCTCCAGCGCGCAGACATCACAATGACGCAGCAATGGATGCGCATCTTCTTGTGGCAGCATGCACTCAATGTAACGAATTTGAGCAGTCGCGCCAGCCAGGATGAGGAGTTCTCATTTCGCTTTCCCGCCAAAGTCGCTCAAAACGTCCTCAGTAATCTGAGTAGCCTCTCCCGCCAGAGCATTGAGGCGCATGGACCCGGCATGGTATGAAATACCTCGTTAGAAAATTAGAATGTCACTAATGTGTATACAGGAGTCGAAACTTTTCGATGTTGCCAACTCGCTTGCAGATGTCATGATGATTATGCCTTCTCTCAACCACGAATCTCACTTCGACGTTGGACCTAGAGATCTGATCCACTCGCTAGCGCAAGTCCTGGCCTCCTTTCGTGGTGGTAATCCTGCTGTCATTAGCATACTGCAAGAGAAGCTCACTATGCTTGGACTTTCCGCTGGGTCGCCGCAAAAGTTGCTTGAGCTCTCATCGCCAGAAGAGGAACACGACGAGTGGCACGACCGCTCCATGTCTGCCCCCTCTACCTACCCGTCCTTAAGTCCGGACGTTTCAATGTCGCCATCACTCCAGTCGAGCATGAGCATGGACGGCACGTTTTGATTCTCCCGGATTATGGCAAAAACCTCTTGCAGTATCATGCACATACGGACAGAATATCCGATTGCGCAACGCGTCCAATCATGGCCATGCAGGCAGACGTGCCCTATCGATTCGGTCACCTAGCGTCCGCAAGACAGGCGCTTGTCAGCAAGCACCCAAATCCCTTAACAAGACGTGGGCCAACCATGGCATATCGCTCATCATCGAAGAGACCAACATGATTGATGCACCAGGCTTTGGCCAACGCCCGATAAAACGCCCTCCTTTGTTGCTGCAGGAAGTTCGCAAAGGTCCAGCAAGATTACTTATTGGTCTCTGCTAAATGAGTGCTTACGAGCCTTAAATAGGGTCGCGCACCATGGAGACAAGAACAACGTCCTGTTGAGACATCATAGGGATCACAGTAATGCCACCCCCGAAGGCCGAGTCGCGCGGACATATGGAAGGAAAGCACGGCAGATTATGAGCTTGAGCAGACGTCAAAGCAGAAAGTCAACGCTGAAGTGACGCAAACACACGCTCGAATCAGAGGTCTAATAGGGGATCAGCGGCAGCGCATGTAAATACGATGAACATTTCCAAGGCCCGTGGTTCCATGATAGGGTGTTGCCTAGGTCATTCCTGCTCTCTGTCTAATTATGAGGACAGCGAGCGTTAGCATTGACATCAGGGGATAAGCATGTATTGAACCAGTACAGTACGCAAGCATTGGCCTGGAGCGGGGAAAGTTTCTCGACACTCGATTGGAAAGTGACACGAAGCCAAGATCGCAGCCAGCTGGTTCTACTATGCAGCCGATCTTCAAATTATATACATCAGATTCGCCATTGTCAGTCATCGCCAGCTCCCTCCCTTATTGTATAGAGATGGGAAGGCCTGGATGAGCTGGAGCAGCTGGGCTCTCGTTCATTTGCTCGAGACCATAGTTGATCGCCGCGGCGATATCCTGGTTGTTCTTCTCCAGGAACATGAAGTGCCCATTGCCCTTGATACCAACGTCGGCAAGCTTGATCCACTGGTAGTTGGTGAGGCCCATCTGCCTGAAGTACTCGACGAAGCAGTGGTCGTACGTGATGTGCGGACTGGCCTCGCCCGTGATCATGATGTAGGGAACTTTGCTAAGTTGGGTGAGCTTGTGGACGGTGCCAGTCTGCAGAATGCAGGAGCGCTTGGCAGGGTCATCTGGGCCGACCTCAGCTGTAGCAATGGTCGAGCAGTCCGTTACCGGCGGATCGAATTGCAGCGGTGTGTATGTGAGGCCACAAGGCCGCGCCGCAGTACGACCGACCCCAGCAACAGTCGTGTTCCCGATCAGAGAAGTATGTGGGATGTTGCCAGGCTCGATGTTGATGTTGGCGCGCAGCAGATCAGGGCATGCGTCCGACCAGATAGCCGTGTACGTACAGCCAGCTGAGTGGCAGATGGTGTATGACTGGCCGATCGTGCTGAGGAGCTGACATCCAGATGTGCGCATAGTGTTTTCCACGTTTACGTTCGATGAAGAGATGGGAACGTTGGCGGCAGTGAAGGCATCAAAAGCTGGATCTCCACGAGATCCGTTTCCGGGCCATTGTGTATGTAGGTTTGCTTGTGGGTACTGGTCGAAGTTTTCCGGAGCTGTAAAGCCCTGCTCATTGATTGTGTCTGTAGATCCAAGGCGTAGAGGGTACTTGGAGAAGAGCTGCTGGCCACTTCGGCCGTTGGCAGCGATGTCAACAATGTAGACCTGGTAGCCTTGATCAAGGTAGTAGGAAGCCCACCCTTTCCGATTGTCTGGCGTATTCAGCCACTCTGCGCCCGTGTTGACACCCGCGGAGACGAAGACCATCGGGTAAGGCTTGTTGACTTTGCTGGCGGGAGTCAGCTTTTCGACATAAAGCTGGTCGCTCCACATCTGTTGGCCCGGAATGCCGGAGTCGACGTAGCCGCCACCGATATAGAAGAAGTCTCGCTGGTATGCAGATTCTTGGCTGCTGCATTTTGGGCTGATGCCATTGACACCAGCGCAGTCGTCGGTTGACGCGCCAACTTGTGCCGAAGTTTGTGAGGACAATGTTCCCAACAGCAAACCCGAGATAATGGTACGTGAATACATGGTCAAGTAAAAAAGAGGACAAATAGAACGAATGGGTCACAAGTAGTGTCAAAGGGGTACGGATGATTCTTGGAGGGGTTTGCGCAGTCAGGTCGGCAGCATGCATCCGCTTTCAGTTTGGAGAACGCGCTTTCATGCCAACAGGTCGCGGCATTGGCTCCAGTCGCGCAGACGAGATGTAGAGTTGGTCTCAATCTCGGTATGGGACTTCTTAGAGATGCCTTCCGTTCGCTTTTGCGTGATCCGGGGAGAAGCGGACATTAGCTACTATAATTAGCTTAGTGGAGCGGATGCATGCTGCCTTTCTAATCATCCAGACCCTCAGGGTGGCAGCGGGCAGATCACATGTTTGCGAAGAAGCTGAATTTTTACCTGTGATGGAGTAGCTTCAGCGCACAGCCCATCAAATTCGTTCCGTCGGTCGGGACGTCCCGTCTTCGAGAAATGGCGTCTTGGATATGCGCGCAAACAGGTACCTACTTGCCAGCACCCAGACTGTAGGGCTCCGGTCCATCTACCTTCCGCGCGCCTCCGGCCCGACTTACTTATGCTTCCATCTATCTGTTCACCGCATCGACCGAGAAGTCTTCAGAATCTGTCTGCAGACTGTGGTGTGATAACTCATCACGATGCGGAGGATACACCATCTCCGGATCTTAACATGACTAGATCAATTACCGCTATAGAAGCATTGCTGAACAGAGAAAGGTTATTGCGCCCAAACCACCTGAGAATGTACCTCAGCTTTTGTAAGATACAATGTCCATGAAATCATGACGTCCTCGGTGTCTTTGTCCCTCCCTTTTGACTATGATACGTTCACTGCGCATACAGTCGCTAGGTCAGTTTTAGGTTCACTCCACCGTGCAGACTTTCGCGTCGAACACAGTCTCCTTCTGTACGCTTACCACCTCCAGATAAGACTCCTCCTCATACTCCAACGCGTGCTCCGCTTGCTTCTTATGACATGCCATGCCACACAACTCCGAACGCCCTCTGTGAGCTGGGATCTGGCGGGGACAAAGATATATCTTTTGCTTTTTCTGAATGCTATACCAGTCCTCGGTCTTGTTCGCGGGAAAGTACTGTGGGCCAATCGCGCCGATGCCTCGGATGTTCGCGTCGTAGGTTTGGACTCTGATAGCGTTGAGGTATTTCTACACATACGTTAGCGCGGAATACATCTACGCAGTGAATGCGACATACTTTGTTCTTGATCCACTCATGCAACACGTTGATCTGGAAGTACTGCGACTCGGCCTCCAGACGATTGTACAGATCATAGTCAAATCCTTTAGCCGCATCATAGAACAGCGGTAGTACCTCGGGGCGGCGCATAAAGCGCAATAGGTGCTCGAAGAGATCGGGGTCGGCATCAAGAAAGTACGAGCCGTCCGTCTCAGGCTCCCAAGGGAAGCGGCCGGAGAGTTGGTGTCGGAAAAGGCCTGACTCTGCCTGCAGGGTATCGCGCGAGACCTTGAACTTGCGGCCGCCAATGTCGAGAACGAGGGTCTTAGGATAATTACCAGTGATGTTGGGGACTTCCATGGTAAGGTCGATCAAATCGATAGCTGAAGTACCCTGTGGTCTACCATCTGGCTCACTGTTACTGCCACTGGTGTCAACAGGCGCACTCTCGGTGGGAACGCTGACTGCTGTCATTGCGGCGGTGATGGCGTCGAGATCCATACTTGTGGTTGACGAAAGTTGCGTGTGTTGGTATCGTGGTTGCCAGCAATGTGGGCGTGTCAACACGGAAAGGTTGCTCTCCAATCCACTAGTGCATTCACCGTTCATTCTTCACGAGGAACCAAGGAGAGGCCTTTTCTCCAATATTCACCGTGAATTTGAGGCACGTGATCTAGGCCTTGACATATGTGCGGGCTCCTATAACTAGCAATGCTCTGTGTAACTTGGAGTGGAGACTTGCAAGGAATCCCAACTTTGGTGCTGAGCCCGAGTACCCTCTCGTGTAGGCTGTGTATTTAGCCCGCTCAAGCTCCGAATTCCTTTGCCATAGACTTTTGTGCCTCAATGTATCTTTCCAGTTTTGCTTCCGCCTCAAACCTCTCAGTCCGTTCTTCCTTCACCTCACTCTCGGCCTTTTCTGCCCGTGCCTTCCAATTTCTTACGCTGCTCTGACTCCTTTCGAACATATTCTTGAAGCTTTGAGAAGATCTTTTTCTGTCCTCGTTCACCTGCTTCAGCTGTTCAACTTCGCATCTGAGAGCCTTTGCCACTTCTGCTTGCTCAGCGATCATACGATTGAACTGTGTTGTAGATGTCGCATCGCGTCTGAGCATCACAATCTCATCGTTCAGTCGACGCAGCTGCGCTTCTTCTTGTTGATGACGGTCTCGCATTGCTGCTATGATGTCTTCGTCTTTGCTGAGTCTGCGCCTCTTCAGTGATCCTGTGAATGCATTAGTCGCCCTCATGAAGACGAATTAGCTTATGCTCACCTTGTAGAGTTGCTTCGTTGCTCTCCATTGTAACAGAGTGTAGAGAGGGTGATTTAGTCTGCAGTTCCGAAACGATGCTAGAGTCGTCCAACCCGCGCGATAGAGAGGATTGAGATTGCCGGGATTCATTCATTTTATTATGACGGCACAATCGGGCGTTAAAGTTAAGGCCCAAAGCGAGTAATGAGGAGGACGTTTAAAGTTGTTTAAAAAGACTAGAAGCGAGGTGAAGGTGAGACTGATTAGGACGACCAACGAGTCTCTTGTTAAACGCGCTTGGTAAAGAGGTGAGGGATGTCAGTCGATTGCTGTGAGCTTTGTAACATCCACGAGTTACATATCCCTGAGATTCTAGTACCTAGATATCGTCGCCGTAACCCGGCTGATCTAGCGCTTACATATAGGCCTAAAATTTGAGTAAAGTGTTATATGCAAGCACAGCTGAGATTTGCCCTACACCTGGCTCTGAACATATCGCTCTCGTCCCTCCTCAATCAGCTCCTTTAATCGAGCCTCACTAATCTCCCCGCCATCTTGCGCGCCTTCATCGGCGCCACTGTACCTCCACCCATACTGCGTCTTGACCCATGCCACATCCCACGAACTCGGCCTGGACCACATAGGAATCATCTCATATCCGAGATCATGATTCGTACTGTCCCTGTAACGCGCTACTGGGCACTCCGCCTGGTTGCCATTCAGACAATTCTCATTACCCATGATGTAGCTGTGGTAGTGCATGATGCTATCCGCATCGTACGGTGAATCGGGGTTCAGTATCCAGCCATCCTCGGATTTCCCGTACAGAACAGTATCGGTGTAGGAGCGGCCGCTGAAGTTGTATCTATCAGCAATTGTGACGTCGTTGCACAGCTCGTCGGTCGTCGTGCTTGGGTCGGATTCACGCGCGCGTGCGAGGGCGGTGCGGTAGTCGGTGAGCTTTGTGCAGTCGTAATGGATGTACCTATCACGGTCTGAGCGTTGCTGCTCGTGCATCATTCCTTTTGTTTGTCAATCTTGTAACATCCGAGATCGCGGGAAATGTCCAACGTACCCATGACATGTCCAAGTTCGTGTGCTACAGTTGTGACGCTGGCTTCTACGTCTATCCACATGTTCAGATCCCAAGGCTTTCCCGGCGTATCACCCATGCCCACAGTGGATGCGGCCGCGGCTTTGCCCACGCCATCGTCCTTCCAGATGGCGACTGTCTTGTAAGGTACAGCCATATTCCATTTGCTCTCAGCTGGACTGTTGACATCTATGCAGTACCTTGGGTTCTGTGAGAAGTCAACATACTCCGAGAAGATGATCTTGTGGTTTGTACCCGGCGACGGTCCGCCGCCGAGAGCTGTCATCCACACTCTGATAGCTGCTTCTAGTTTCTCAACATTTGCTTTGCGATGTTCTTCTGTCGGAAAGCAGTACGGTATCAACGTAATGCCCTTGATGTAGAGCTCCGTCCACTTCTTGGGGCCTCCACTGCCTTCGTGACCCCAGAGAGATGTAGCGCCAGATTGCATCCCATCATAGGTTGGAGTTTCGGTGTCGTTAGACGGAGGTAGGATAGCGCATGGACCTGAGAAGATAGGGGATGTTGGGGGAATAGACGCCGCTATCGCCTGAATGGCAGCCGCCGCAAAGACCGGGAGGTATCTCATGATGATACTAGAAACAGTTGATAAGAGCAAAGGAATGTTGGAAATAGGGAGTGTAAGGGAGTATTTAAGATAAGTGCAGATGCCATAATGTACTCGTGATCACAAGGGGCAATCCGACTGCAACGCGCATCGGCCAATTACGCATTTGAGTCACAATGCTCATTCTGGTGAAAGAGCATCGCTACTGGAAAACACTCGCCGGACGCTCAAGCCTCGAATGCACGGCCTTTGTGGCGCCCCGGACTTTTTCGGACTATTTGAGCAACTGCATCAAATAGCAGCACTGGCAACATCTCTGGCAGCCTTCTCTTCCTCTACCAGCTTCGCCCGTTGACGATCCAACATCCTTAGAACCTTGGGATCTTCGCCAGTCACCTTACCTCGCTCGATGTATGGATTTCGATCAAAGTCTTCATCTGAGGCTTCCTCATTCTCATCTTGTATGCCCGCATTCTCGACTGAGTCGATATGGGGTCCTTGGTATGGGTAATTGGTGCGGACCCAGCTGACGTCGCCTGGGCTCGGCTTTTCAGCATCTTCGATGTACGCTATTCCTTGCGATTTATCTCCAGGCACCTTCCACCTCCTCAATGGGCATTCTTCCGGGTGGTCTCCCTCGGCGCACTTTTCGTTGGCATGCTGGAAGCTGCTATACGACATAATAGAGTCCACGTCGTACTCGGTATCAGCTTTCATCCACCAGTACTGGGCAGGGCTACCATAAGCCACGGACATGGTATAGTGGACAGCGGGGAACTGAAACTTCTTGGAGTAGTCTGCGAACAGACATAGCTGGTGGTCCTTGAATTGCGGGAGAGCCTTTCGGGCCCGAGCGAGCGCGTCCGAGTAGCCTTTCAACTTTTTGCAATCGAACTCAACGTGTTTGTCGCGGTCTGTGCGCTGGTGTTCGTGACCCATGCCTTGAAGTGTCAGTAATGATCATGACATTTGTTTGTTTGAGACATACCGAGCACATGACCAATCTCGTGCGCGACGACCAGGGCAGCCGTCTCTGGGCCGATTGACAAGCGGAGTTTCCAGGGTTTGCCTCTATCAGCCGCGCTGCCAGCCCCCATAGTCGCGTAAGCTCCGTTGGTCATCTTCTCTGACAGACTGATCACCAACGTTGTAGTCGGCAACGAAGGGTTCCACTGTTGTTTGTTTTCGGGGTTCGGATCATAGCACAAGTGATGCTTGGACGCCTTGTAGTCATACCATTCGTTGAATTGAAGATCATGCCCGTTGTCTCTACCACGCTCTCCGCCTAGAGCAGCTTTCCAGAGGGCTACAGCTGCTTCGACGCGCTCAAGTAGCCTGGCACGGTCCGTCTCAGAATAGAAGCAGTAAGCAACCAATGATCTACCTGGGGAAACGATGTCGGTCCATTTCTGTGGACCGCCCCAATTGATATAGTTGAACAGTGAAGCACCGCCATACTGGGTTGTATCCTGACCGTTTGTGGTATCTGCAGTATCCGTGATATCCGTAGCATGAGCGGCCAGTTGAGCTTCGACTTGCTCATCAGTAATGGGTGGAATGATGCAAGATTGATCTGGCAGACTCGAAAAATGGTCCAGCTTGGGGACTACCGCAGCGAGCGCGCCGCAACCCAGGAAGGAGACCACGGGAATACTGTAGAGCATGGCTGTGATTGTCGGGGTGCTGCTTTCAGTGAGTCCGAGTTCCAGAAGTATCAGATAAGAGAAGAGGATACCAGAGATTCGCAGCTTATGATGATGGAAGGTATGACCGGCTAGCTCGGCTTGGCGCAACAACGGGGCTTGGGGTCGTCGTCGATGCAGCAACTATGGAAGTGAATGCTAGCCCGTAGTCGTGATATTGGCATCACTGCTGCACGACCGAATGCATCTTACCACTCGGAAGGTTCGTTGGCCACCAGTTCCGACAGATGCGGAGCGTATGGCGGCGGACTTTCGGGGTCCTAGTGAAGGTGAGACCGCTACATTGCGTTCCCGAGCCAGATGTTATAATCTTGCCGCCTGAATAAATCTGCATTCACCGAGACGCAAAAAAGGAACAGCGCTAGCGATATTGTGCCCTGCCACTTAACAACAACAGCCCAAACCTTCCCCACAAACCAAAGCCGCAATCGTTGCGCCCACGACTCAGCCAAGATGGCGCACTCTCCTACCAATTCAGGACTCAAGAACATGCGCGACTTCTTTACACGCAGCGAGAAGGAGAAGATCTCACCTGAGCTCAAACAAGCACTGTCGCTACTGCAACTCCCCAACTTGGACAGCCTCGAAGAGCGCTTTCTCGCGACCGCTGCGTTTCTAGAGCCATGGGCCGTATTCCGCGATTCGATATTCCTGCGTCAACCGGAGGCGGTACCACGTGCAACGGCGATAGCCAGAGAGGAGGGGGAGGACGGTGTGTCTCGCACAGACCTGTTGTGGTTTTATACACGATTCGACGAAGGTGTACACCGTTATGACCCACGCGCCGACAAGTACAGCGCGGAGTACACATCAGACTCCAGCGTGCATGGAGTGATCGACAAGAGTGATTGGACTGTGGAGGCGTACGAGAAACACCTCTTCGCCTGGTTGCTGCAGGTATTCAAGGTCGGCAAGTCGCGCAATCCGTGGAACATTGACTACTTCGAGCTCCGCAACATCTGCACCGCCTGGGAAGCAGTCTTCGTGCCCATCGTCAATGCTGTTCGCGCTTCCTACAGTGTCAAAGGCCGACGACACTACGGTCGCCTCGCGCTTTACATCGAAGAGCGGTGCCCATCTGGTCTCGCTTTTCCCAAGGACAACGTCTTGGTACCTGGAGGAAGCCTGATGTCGCCCACGCCATACCGCATAATCTCCTTGCCGAAGAAGGTCGTCAGTGATGAAGGCGCAACATTCCACAAGCGTGTTGGCGGTGCTGGAGTGTTCACGCGAAAGCAGTACGACGACGCCGAGAAGGAGCTTCGCGATGTGTACCCTCAGTATGGCGGTTTGGTTGAACGGCCCAAGTTCAAACATAAGATGGAGGAGTGGTTGAATGAACAGCGAGCCCGAGCAGAACGCAGGAAGGCCGCAGAGAAGACAGGCGAAGTGAGGGCCTTCCAGCCCCAGGTGGTAAAGCGTGACGGTAGCCGGAGCCCAGGAAAGAGCAGCTCTCCCGATAAGGACCGCAGCAGACAAGATCAGGATGGCAGCGAGAGCCCAATCAGACGGTACTCAGATAGCATCCGCCGCTCGCTGTCTCGAGGCATGTCCAGAATTGCGTCGAAGGAGGAGCCGAAGAGTCCGCTGCATGGTGTAACACGACAGATCCACCTACCTGATGAAACACCAGCTTATCGCCCTTCCGAGCCCTCGTCAACCGAGAGGCATGTGAGTGGCGCCTCAACGGATACCACTATCATCACGCCATGGCCCCGTCCTGATACAGTGCGCAAGCCATCTGACCCGAGTGTGTACACGTCAACCCATAACTCAGACACTCTCATCCTTCCCGATAGCCATCAGCGCATGCAAATGTGCGATGACACGGACGAATCGATATATTCCCCCATGGGCCAGTTGAGTGCTATACCACAGCCACTGCACCACAAGTACCAGCCTGAGATGCGGGTCGCGCCAGCGATCGAGAAGGGAAGAGCACACCCGGATGCACGGGTTCCAAGCTACGAGGGCAGTGGTTGGGACGACGAGATCTCGTTGACAAAGCTCAAAACTGTACGCGAGGACACTGCGAGAGATCCGCAACGCGTTCAGCCCTCAAAGCCAGTCACGAGGCTTCCTGTGCCTATTAAGCCAACTGCATATACCGGCGATCTGCGTATCGCGTCGAACGACATCCATCGCAAGGCGACACCAAACCCTCTTGCGTGGCCGGGTACTTCTCCGCCCAGAGCAGTACCATGGCCCGGAATGGAGCATACCGTTCCGTCCGTGTCATCCAGAAGCCCCGAGCGATGGAACAGTACACGTGGGCTGGCCAGCAGCGCTCGTCCTCAACGGCTATTGCTCGATGAGTCTGATCGCAGCGTTACGCGCATCGTTTCGAAAGAAAATATTCGCTCCGTGCTCAAGGGTAACTCTCGTGATAGCTCAGCAGAAGATCTAACTCTGCCGCCTCCCGTACCGATGCTTCCAGGGCAGAATAGAACGATGAGTCCTGCTGGCGCTAGGTTGCAGACGTACAACACAAATCTATTCCCGCGTCGAGAAGAGCGCAAAGGAACTCCAGTCGGTAGGTGGGTTGGTGCGGACAAGAGCAGAGGTGCACATGGCGGTCCTTTTGAGCTAGATATGCTTGATGGGGCAAATTCTGGCCAGGTTGTTCAGAGCAGGACTGCAGGAGGCGATACACGATACCATGAGGAATACCATGGCAGGCATGAGCCTGACGACCGTCGGAGTCTCGAGAAATGGATCTGAGGTTGCGTTGCGACTAAAAAGCCGTGCGATAGGAGCATTTGGCTTGCTCCAACTGTCGCCCCGGTCAGCCTTTCGCATCATTGACCAGTGTTGGACTGCCGCCCTCACGTCGAGACACAGGCCACATTTTCGGTCAAGGGTTGCTTCCCGGTGGTGGACGATGCTGGGCTTGGCAGACACGCGTAAGGGTGCTGAGCATGGACAATAGAAAATAGAAGAAGGAAAATACAACGTGAAAAGCGAACACTCAGGGTGTATTTTGATATGGTGACCTGACTCTCGGCCTGAGAAGAGTGACAAGCGGAGGTTTGACGACGTGAAGTGCTGCCCGCCCCCTGTGACGCGAGAATGCCACGCTAGCACGCACCAGTCTTACCAGGGTCAGCGGCAGCAACACGTCACCGACAGCTGTGGCAGCATCATGGGCAGTCTTTGGACATGTCGCGAGACAGTGGCCAG